ACAGAGAACACTTTGGGAACAGATAACTGCGTAGATCTGTCTCTCTCCTCTTGAGTCCCCTTTTTCTCCTCCTGCTCACCTCTATCTCCTTCCTCCCTCTCCTATTCTTCATGTAACTCTGTGAACCTCTCTGGTTGTCTCTCACGGTGGAGAATCTTTTCACCATTAACCTAGAAGTTTTATTATCAGTGCTGTATAGTTGGAGAAGTCTTGAGACTATTGGAAGAATAAAACTGAAATCCAGAGGCAGGAGACTTGAGCCCAGATCCTGAGAAAACCAGAAAACTCCTGACTACACGGAACATTAAGGAATAAGAGACCATCCGAAAAACACCCATACATCTGGACTGAGGAATGCAACACCCCAGAATATTAGGTGTAAGAAGGCTCCAGGCAGAACTCTCAAGCTGAACATCTATTTTCTCTGTTGTGTCAGTACAGTTGTCAGGGACTTGAGACCTTTGGTCTAAGGAGGGCAATCTCAGGTCAGAGGAGGAATTGTCAGATATATATGTAAAGCCCCTTAAAAAGAAGTGAAAGAAATAGCCACCCAAAACCACTGGGGTTCTGTAGTGTCCAGTTACTGATATCAGCCCTGGGAGGTCCTGAATTCCATCATAGGATGAGGAACAGAGAGGCTTTGAGAGCTGAGAAAGAGAGAGCGCTACTGCCATGGGCAGGGCACATTCCAGATCTAAGTCCTCTAGCTCGTCCACATAGTGACATCCAGGGCAGATCCTTCATCTTGAGGTTGAAAAGAGAAGGAAGTATTCCAAGTAATTGAGTGCCAAGATGGATCTGAAGGGAACACATTTTATGTCTTTTTTTGTTCTTGCTTGACTTCAGTAACTGGGAGATGTATCTTTTTCTGTTTAGGGCTTTCTTTTTGGCACCATCGAAATAGTCTTCTTGTAATTGAAGGTTAATTTGACTTCTGTATTTGTGTTTATGAACAAAGTATATCCCATTTATTGCTGTATTTCAGTATAAGTACAAAGGTTTTTATATTTTGTATAATGAGTCAGAAATCCTTGAATCTCCTTTTGTGGTTCAGAACAAGGTGACATGTCAAGAGAATTGGGAGTTTCTTGCCAGTGATAATGGACAGTGAGTAAAATTGTTCATATCAGGAAATTTAAAAAAGGGTCTTGTCTGTGTGGCATCTGCAATACAGTGGAACAGGAATTCCCAGCCCCTGTTTCCCCTCAGCAGCCCAGATTTTAAAATTATATAAGTAGCAAAATAACCTTTATAGAAGGTCCAGAATCCAATTAAGAAATTGAAGTACCACAGGTAAGCATAAAATTTAGATCAGCTGCACTTGAAATGGGTAAAAACAACACACACACACACACACACACACACACACTTATGGACCATGAATAGCACTATTCATCTCTGATGAACAGTTTCTATACTAAACTGTTATCTCAAAAAATGTGATCACAAATGGTTCACAGCTACTTCTTACTCTGTTTAGTACGATACCATAAGCTTTGAGTAACACAATAGGACTCATGTGAAGTGCTGCTAGTAGTGCTGGAAGTGCTCTCAAGAAGCAGAGAGAAGTCATGACATTATACAAAAAAGTTGAATTGCTCGTTGTATACTAGTTTGGACCTGCAGTCGTGGTTGCCACCATTTCAAGATGAATGAATCCAGCATAAGGACTACTGTAAGAAAAAGAAAAGGAAATTTATGAAGCCATCACTGTAGCTACACCAGCAGGTGTGAAAATCTTGTGATTTTTGTGAAATACATTTTTATCTTCTATTGAAAATATATCTTGTATGTGGGTGCAGGATTGTTATAAGCAAGGCATATCTATAGACTCTAATATGATTGAAGAAAAAGCAAAGTCATTATGACAACCTAAAGCAAAAGTGGGTGAAGGATCTAAAGCTGGAAAATTTAATGCCAGTGAAGGATGATCTGATAATTTCAGAAAGAGGTTTGACTTTAAAATATCAAAATAATAGGGGAAGCAGGTTTTACAAACAAGAGGCAACAGTGGTTTCCCAGATGCCATTAAGAAAATCACTGGGTATTAATTTTGTATCCTGCAAATTTACCAATTCATTGATGAGCTCTAGTAGTTTTCTCACAGCAACTTTAGGCTTTTCTATGTCTAGTATCATGTCATCTGCAAACAGTGCCAGTTTTACTTCTTTTCCAACTTGGATTCCTTTTATTTATTTTTTTTTTTTTTGTTCTCTGATTGCCACAGCTAGGACTTCTGAAATCATGTTGAGTAAAAGTGGAGAAAATGGACAACTTTGAAATTTTCATATTAAGTGAAGTCAGACAAAGACAAATATCACATCACTCAAATATGGAAATATAATTTTTAAAATGATAGAAATAAACTTATTTACAAAATAGAAAAAGAGTGAACAGATATCAAAAACGAACCTATGGTTACCAAGGAGGAAACATGGCAGGGAGGGTTAAATCAGGAGTTTGGGATGAACATATAAACAGTACTGTATTTAAGATAGATAGCCAGCAAGGATCTATTGTATAGAACAGGAAAGTCAATGTTCTGTGATAACTTATATGACCAAAGATTCTCTAAAAGAATGCATATATGGATATGAATGACTGAATCACTTTGCAGTACACCTGAAACTAACACAACATTGTAAATCAAATATACTCCAATAAAATTTAAAAAAGAAAATCATTGAGGAGAAAGGAGATCTGTCTGGACAGGTTTTAAGGCAGATGAAAGTGCCCTATTCTGGACGAAATGCCACAAAGTGCATTCATTGGTAAGGAAGGGAAATGGGCTCCAGGATTTGAGACAGAAAGAGACAGGCTAATTCTATGATTTTGTGCAAATGTCATCAGGGTTTTGTGCAAATGATCAGGACTCCCCTAACCTATAGAGCAGCTAACTCTGAGCTTTAAAGGGAAACGATAAACACCATCTGTCAGTGTTTCAGTTGTACAAGAAGGCCAGACAGCAGGAATCTTTGGGGGGATTGGTTTCATCAGTGCTTTGTCCCTGAATTCAGGAAGTACCTTGCCAGTTATTGACTGCATTTTCAAATTCTTTTGTTACTGGAAAATGCCTTGGCCACCCAGAACCCTGTGATTTCAACATTGAAGGTGTCAAAGTGTCTCCTTTCTCCTAAACACAACATCTCTAAGTCAGCCTATAGATCAGAGGGTCAAAGGGAACTTTAAGTGTCATTACACATGGTACTCTATGGAAATGATTGTCAGTGCTGTGGAAGAGAACCCTGATAGAACATCACGAAGTCTGGACAGATTACATGACTAAAGATGCGATTGTTGTGACCAAAAAAAACCATGAAAGTCCCAAACAATAAATTCCTGCTAAAGAAAACTGTCCAGGTGTTGTGCATGCCTTCACAGGATTTGTGACATTGCCAGTTAAGAAAATCATGAAAGAGACTGTGGATCTAGCATGAAAAGGTGGGAGGGGGTGAAGAGTCCCCAAAATATGGATCTTGGAACTATCCAAGAGTTAGCAGACCCTACAGCAGAGGACTTAACAGAATACGACTTGATGGAGATGAGTGGTTCTGAACCAGAGCTGGATGATGAGGAAGAAGACATAGAAGAAGCAGTGCCAGAAAACAAATTGACATTAGACAATCTGGCAAAAGCGTTCTGAGTACCAAAGACTGCTTTTGACTCTTGTATGGCATGGACCCATCTATGATAAGGGCACTGAAACAAAAGCAAATGGTGGAAGGAGGACTGATAACACACAGAAACATTTTTAGAGAAATGAAAAAGCAATATCTTCAGACAGAAATTACAATGTATTTCCATAAAGGTACACTGAGTGTGCCTGCTTCTCCTGCCTCCCCTTCCACCTCCTCCGCTCTTCCATCTCTGCCACTCATCAAGGTCATCCCCTCCTCTTCCTCCTCTTCCTCAGCCTACTCAGCATGAAGGTGATGGCAATGACGACCTTCATGATGATCCACTTCCACTCAATGAGTAGTAAATAATCATCATGCCATACAGGTAATAATCTTATCTGTTGATGATGTGTTTGAGTGTCTTTTTGCTAAGAGCTAATAACTGTATGGCAAGGACTATATGAGATGCTTCTGTGTCATCATCACCTTCATCATCACCACCAGCTAAGTAATCGTCCTGTAGAACATAGCATGCAAGATTTGTATTGAAGTGGATAGCCTACCATTACATAGGCAGAAGATGAGTGACATTTAATATAAGATTAATAATGTTTATATTCTCTGTTTTATAGTGTTGCTTTCAAAGAATTATATTACTATACACTGCCCCATCTCTCTCTTGTGAATGGATAAACTGCACATCAGCCTGTCATCACAGGTAAGTGTTTTCTCTTATAGTAACAATGTTTTCAGTACTTTATTAAAAATATGACTGAAATAGTATAGGATATAAAAATTTTTAGTGATCCATTCATTACTATATATGCTTGGCTACCATGAAGCAATCCTATCAATTACACTAGGTTACTGTAAAGCAATCATATTGCTGCTTCTTCTTTATCAATGTTTGAATCATTATACCTGTAACTAAATATGAATTGCTTTTCACATTATTTTTGATTTTTGATATTTAATGTTTTGTATCTGTAGTCTTTCATGCCATATAAGGCAATATAGATGTATGTACTGACATATAATTCTTGCAAATGCATGCAGTAAACTTACAATATTGATAAATACAGTACTCTGAATATATTTTCTCAAGATTTTCTTAACATTTTTTTTCTCTAGCTTACATTATTGTAAGAATATAGTAGCTAATACTTATAGCTACATCAACTACAAAGAAGGGAATGCATCAAGGTTGTATATTATCACCCTGCTTGTTTAACTTATATGCAGAGTACATCTTGCAAAATGCTGGGTTGGATGAAGCACAAGCTGGAATCAAGATTGCAGGGAGAAACATCAGTAACCTCATATTCACAGATGATACCATCTTTATGGCAGAAAGCAAAGAAGAATTAAAGAGCCTCTTGATGAAAGTGAAAGAGGAGAGAGAAAGGTGGCTTAAAACTCAACATTCAAAAAACGAAGATCATGGCATCCAGTCCCATCACTTCATGGCAAATAGATGTAAAAACAATGGAAATGGTGAGAGACTTTATTTTGGGGGACTCCAAAAATCATTGCAGATGGTGACTGCAGTCATGAAACTAAAAGACGCTTGCTCATTGGAAGAAAAGCTATGACCAACCTAGACAGCATATTAAAAGGCAGAGACATTACTTTACTGACAATGGTCTGTCTAGTCAAAGTTATGGTTTTTCCAGAAGTCATGTATGGATATGAGTGTTGGACCATAAAGAAAGCTGAGCACAGAAGAACTGACGCTTTTGAACTGTGGTGTTGGAGAAGACTCTTGAGAGTCCCTTGGACTGCAAGGAGATCCAACCAGCCCATCCTCAAGGAAATCAGTCCTGAATATTCATTGGAAGGACTGATGCTGAAGTTGAAGCTCCATACTTTGGCCACCCGATGCGAAGCACTGATTCACTGGAAAAGCCCCTGCTGCTGGGAAAGATTGAAGGCAGGAGGAGAAGGGGATGACAGAGGAAGAGATGGTTGGATGGCATCACTGACTCGATGGACTAGCATTTGAGCAAGGTCAGGAATTAGTGATGGACAGGGAAGCCTGGTGCTTGCAGTCCTTGGGGTCGCAAACAGTCGGACACAACTGAGTGACTGAACCAAATACTTATAGCATACAAAATATGCATTGACTGTTTATCAGTAAGGCTTCCAGTTAACAGTAGGTTATTATTAGTTAAGTTTGGGCAGAGTCAAAAGTATACAGGGATTTATGACTCCATGGGGGGGGGTGCCTCTAACCTCCACATGGTTCAAGGGTCAATTGTACATCCAAAGGAAGTGAAATCAGTATCTCGAAGAGACATTTTCACTCCTGTGTTCATTGCACCATTATTTACAATAGCCAAGATATGGTAGCAACCTAAATGTCTACCAACAGATAAATGTATAAAGAAAATGTGGTGGACACAGACAGTGGGATATAATTTCACCTTAAAAATGAAAGAAATCTTGTTATATGGGACAACATGGAGAAACCACAGGGGCATTATTCTAAATGAAAAAGCCAGTCACAGAAAGACAGATGCTGCATGGTTCCACTTATATGAGGTATCTAAAGTCTTTATATACATAGAAACACAGAGGGCCCAGGGCAGGGAGAAATGAGCAGTTGCTTTTCACTTGGTATAATGTTTCAGTTAATTCTAGAGATCTGCTGTGTAACATTGTGCCTGTATTTAACAGTACTGTATTGTGTGCCAAAATATTTAAGTGAGTAGATCTGATGTTAAGTGTTTTTACCATAACAATAATTTGAAAAGTTGATTGTCTTGCTCTGTCTCCAGGACAGAATAAGATGATTAAGTGCAAGCATTTAGAGAACTCTTTTATAATGTTAGTAAGAATGTCAATGGGTGCAACCATTGTGGAAAACAATATTGAGGTTCCTGAAAAAATTAAAAATTGAATGACCATATGATTCAGCAAGCCCACTTCTGGGTTTTAATCCAAAGGAGTTAAACTTAGATTCTCCAAGAGATATTTTCATTCTCATTTTTGTTGCAGCAATATTCACAATAACCAATACAGGGAAGCAACCTAAACGTCCTTTGATGTATCAATGGATAAATATATGATATATACATATCACGGGGTGTTGTGTGTGTGTGTGTCCTCAGTCACTCAGTTGTGTCTGATTCTTTGAGACCCCATGGACTGCAGCTTACCAGGCCTCCCTGCCCTTCACTCTCTCCCAGAGTTTTCTCAAACTCATGTCCAGTGAGTCAGTGATGCCATCCAACCATCTCATCCTCTGCCGCCCCCTTCTCCTCCTGCCCTCAATCTTTCATTCCTAGCATCAGGGTCTTTTCCAGTGAGTCGGCTCTTCACATCAGGTGGCCAAAGTATTGGAGTCAGATTCAGCATCAGTCCTTCCAATAAATATTCAGGATTGATTTCCTTTAGGATGGACTGGCTTGATCTCCTGCTTGATCTCAAGAGTCTTCTCCAAGACCACAGTTCTAAAGCATCAGTTCTTCAGCACTCAGTCTTCTTTATGGTCCAACTATCACATCCATAGATGACTACTGGAAAAACCATAGCTTTGACTATAGGGACCTTTGTCAGCAAACTGCTGTCTCAATTTTTTAATACACTGTCTAGGTTTGGAGCCTTAGGAAAACACAGAGCCTTCAGTGAGAGGTCATTTCAAGTGAAGTTGCCTGGTAGGCTAGAGAGACAGTGGGAGTGATGAGCACGGTCAGATCCTCAGATGGAGGGCCTCAGAGAATACACAGTCTCCTGGAAAGGTGAACTTTACACTGAGTTGAGGAAGCAAGAGACCTCTCCTTAAGGAGGTACTTGATTATTTTACCTTATGTGTAATTGGGAAAATTCTAGGCAAGTTCTAGATTTTTTGTTGGTAGTTAAATTATGTGGAAATATTTGTTATTTAGATGAAAGGGTAGCTGGGAGGGAAGATACTGGTCAGTGACAAAAATTCTAAGAACTTTGAGTTGTTTCCAACTGGGAAAGATTCTACCTCAAGCACATTCTATGTTACATCCTCTGGTGTGAATGTTACATGATTGTCCTTGGTAGGCAACATTTTAGTCCACTGTGATTTTCTTTGTCTTGGAGCTTGGGTAATGTGCTGGAGTTCAGGGGGCTAGTGAAACAGCCTGTGAAACAATTGACCAGCTTAAACTGGTTTTACCTTCTCAAAATAGATTGTTGAGGTTGTTGATTAATCACACCTTGGGTCATTATACAAAGAAAGAACTGCAAGTGTCCAAGAAGGAACACATGACCTCAGGATGGCCCCAGAGCCAAGATCTTCAGTCTGCAAAACTCAAAGAGAAATGTTGCCCCGAAGGCCATTTACAAAGTGAGAAGTCCTTCAATAAGGAAAACCTGGCTTCCAGTAACCTGAGTCGCTGATATGGACTAATTTAAGACTAGCCAATTAGCTTCTAAGTTAGAAATTCCCATGACCCCTTAGATTGCACCCAGGCTGCTCGACTGAAGAGAGATTTGAAACCTTGCCTCCTGCACTGGTCGGCCTTGCAGTAAAGCTCTTTCTCAAAAGCTCTTGCCATAAGTATTGGCTTCTCTGTGCATCTGTCAGTGAGCCCATGTTCAGTGAGTTAGAGCAGCCCGGTTGAGATTTAGGGCTTGTGACCATCTGCCCGAGGCACTGTAGCCCCTGGTGGGCCCTCAGCACCCACCCTGAGTGGCCACCTCCATTGAGTTTTGTCTAGAGAGTCATCTTTCGGGTTCCTGCTTCCTCACCATGGCACTCCGGGATCCTCAGGATCCTTTCCCTTTTAAGAAAAGAAACAGCTCCTAGAGCAGACATCTTTGGGGTGAGTAAACTCATTATAATGTCCCTGTAGCTAAATGTGCTAAATGTAGTTAAAATGTGTCTGTGGTCTAATAATCTCATCAGGACTGTGGGTTAGACAGGATGAGACAGTTGTCTGGCATCACCGACTCAGTAGACATGAATTTGAGCAAACCCCAGGAGATAGTGAAGGACAGGGAAGCCTGGTATGCTGCAGTCCATGGGGTGGCACAGTCAGATATGAGAGAGTGACTGAAGAACGACAACACTGTGGGTTAGAGTCCCACCTAGGGGATTTTCTTCTGTGTGGTTAGAATCCAAGGCTACAACTGTGGGTTAGAGACCCACCCTAAGAGGACAATGCAAGAGGTTAAATCTGCTGAGGTACTCAAAGGATTGGGTTAGAGTTCTGAACACTGGGTTAAGGTCTCAGGCCTTTTGATTTGCTTGCCTATGTTGTCTATGTCTGGCTGTTATATGTGTTGGGATTGCCTAATAGGAGTTGGCTATTGGACCACTGTGGCAAAACTTTATTAAACCTTATATTAGTGAGGGTCCTCTGAATCAGGAGATAAAACACCTTGCTCTTGGACTGGAAACCTTGCTTTATGGAGGTGACAGTTTTTCACCCATGCCTTAGGTGATTGCCCAGAGGTATTGTTACAGATGTATAGTCCTTTCAAAAAAAGAATATTGGAGATTGTTGATTTACAGTCTTTTGTTGGTTTCAGGTGCACAGCAAAGTGATTCAGTTACACATATATTCAATCTTTTCCAGATTCTTTTCCCGTATAGGTTATTACAGAATATTGAGTAGAGTTCCCTTTGTTATATAGGAGGTCCTGTTTGGTTATCTATTTTCTATATTGGTGGTGTGCATATGTTCATCTCAAGCTTCTAATGTTTCCCTCCCCCCAGATTTTCCCCTTTGGTAACCATAAGTC